GGGCCGGGCCGGGTGGCGGCGCCGGTAGCCGGTTTTCCCGGCGCTAACGGTCCCCCTTCCAGCTGCCCGGGCAGCAGGGCCTGGCCTGGAGGAGCGGCTCTTTCAGCAGGTGCGGGACCACTTCAGCTTCGAGACCTGTGGCAACGAGACCTTCCCGCAGCGATATCTGGTCTCAGGTAGGCGCCGGGGTGTGTGCTGCGGCCGAGCTGCTCCCAGCCCTGGCATGGCCATGGCAGGGCCTTGCTATGGCTCAGGGCTGAATTTCTGTCTGCTTAAGTTTTAACTGCTCCTGCACTGACCCTCTCTGTTTGGTGCCGAGAGCTGTGCTGAGCAGCCAGGAGTCAGTTTGAGCTGACTGCCAGCCCTTCGTGAGCCACTCATTCCCCCTGGCATTGTCAGTATCCTCCTCTTCTTCCCTTCAATTTGGCATTCTGGCCATGAGGTGTAGGGTGCAGGTATGGGGATTGGCCTCCCTGGAGCAAGAGCGGACTAGAAACAGCATCTGTGTTAGGCTTGCACCAGGGCTGGCTCTGGGCATGCATGTCTTAAGTTGGGCACAGAACAGAATAGACTATTTCAGTTGGAAGGGACCTACAATGATCATCAGGTCCAATTGCCGGACTAATTCAGGGTTGACCAAGTTAAAGCATGTTATTAAGGGCATTGTCCAAATGCCTCTAAACACTGACAGACTTGGAGCATCAACCATCTTTCTAGGAAGCCTGTTGCAGTGTTTGATCACCCTCTCAATAAAGAAATGCTTCCTAATGTCCAATCTAAACCTCCCCTGATGCAGCTTTGAACCATTCCCATGTATCCTATCACTGGATCCCAGGGAAGAGAGATCAGCACCTCCCTCCCCACTTCCCCTCTTCAGGAAGCTGTAGAAAGCAATGAGGTCACCCCTCAGCCTCCTTTTCTCCAAACTAGACAAACTCAAAGTCCTCAGCCGCTCCTCATAGGACATGCCTTGCAGCCTTGTCACCAGCTTTGTTGCCCTCTTCTGCATGCATTTGAGGACCTTCACATCCTTCTTAAGTGGCGGGGCCCAGAACTGCACACAGTACTCCAGGTGAGGCTATGCCAATGCTGAACACAGCAGGATAATCCCTTCTCTTGACCAGCTGGTTATGCTGTGTTTGATGCACCCCAGGATGCAGTTTGCCCTCTTGGCTGCCTTGGGCACGCTGCTGACTCCTGTTGAGCCTGCTGCCCACCAGCACCCCAGATACCTTTCTGCAGGGCTGCTCTCCAGCCACGCCTCTATGAAGTTATACTTGTGCACAGCATACTTGTGCACAGCATCTCTTACAAGTGCAACTTGGTGCTCTGAAGGCAGCAGGAAAAGCAAATAGTGACTCAAACATTGCAGTTTGTACCCGTCATTCTTATGAGTGAAGATTAACTCCTCTTGGGTCAGTGTTCTGTGTTATTTAAAACCCTGCAATTTCAGATAGTTTAAGCCATGCTGAACAATGAAGGCTTCCAGCAAGGAGGCAGCAGTGTCTTCCTTTCTAGCCAAATGTTACCGGTCTTCTGTGCAACAGACAGTAAGGGAGAGGAGGCTTTTCTAAACAGTGTGTGACTAAAAAGACAGCAATTTCAATAACCAGCCGACAGGTTTTTCAATCCTGCCTGCTTGGAGGAATCGGGAAGAGATTTGCAGGGGGAGAACAAAGGTGGAGCTGTGAATAGCGCCAGCCCAGAGCACTGCCTCCAGGCAGCGCTGCCAGCCTGGTGCCTGCCTGCTGCTGCCTCACAGACTGCCTGCATCTGGGGCTTCGTATGCAGCATCTCACCTTCCTCACGTCACCCGTTACTCTGCAACTTGTTCAGCACCGGCACCAGTCATGTATGCTTCACCAGCTGTGAATTCATGGATCAGTTCAGCCCAAAGTTGCAGGAACACCACCAGTGAATTTTGATAGCACAGCCAAGGCTGAAATTTCACTAATTAAGTGGCCCTTTTTGAACAGAACTTTGGGATCACCTGGTTTAAAGCACTGCATTACTTTTATTTTTTTTCTTTTTACAGTGTTATATTTTGTCTGTGTGTCCTGGGCAGAGCTGAATAATGTTTGTGACAATCAAAACATTAACATTGCAGTTCTGCTGGTTTACAAATAGTTTCTTACTCAAAATTGCTGTGAGTAGTTCCTTTACCTTCTACTGCTTCTTGTGCAATATGAGACATTTCAGATTTATCAGTAAGAATTTGGAGAAGACTGTTATTTCACAACCAGGCATGTGACTGTCTTGAAGTTAGCTGGCAGTTCCCCAGGATTTTAATGTAAAAATAGACACCTTTTTAAGCAGCCTGTCTGGTTTGATTTTGGCTCCTGTGAATGGTTGCTTACTCCAGGAGCAACAAAGTGAATCAGAAGAAAATTCGGAGTATACACTTCAGTTTCTTACCTGATACCCAAAGCAAATGCAACACAGAAAGAGAATCAGCCTCTTTCTTTGTCAACAAAGAGCAGTGGTCTCGCTAATGAAAGGTTTCAAACCCATGTCCAAGCCAAATCCTACTTTGGCAAGTCTGTGTGGGGAATGCCAATAATTAAGTTCAAGCCTCTCTGTTAATGGAAGAGATCTACACACACCTCGTTTGACATGCTGCGGCAGCATCCTAAGGACAACTGCTGTTGAAGAGTCCCTTTGGGTGATGTGGCAAAGTGTTGAAATCAGCACTTAACTGATGGTCTGAGGTCTGTTGTTGACGAAAACTATTTATTACCCCTCTTAATTCCTGTGCAATTTAAGACTAAGCTAAAATCAAATGTTTGTTGAAGTCAGGAGGCATTAAAGCAACTGTTTGTTAGATAAGCAAGTATTGACATCATGGGTCAGCTTGTTCTGCCAGTCTCAATTTGCCTTCAGTTATAAACAGATGAGAGGATGAAGCACATCATCTTTGTATATCATCATCTATATATAATATATCATATGATATATATATATGTGTCTGTGTTACATATATAGCATGTATCAGCATATCATCATCAGTATATCCTGGGCTGCACGCAAAGCCGCGTGGCCAGCAGGGCGAGGGAGGGGATTCTGCCCCTCTGCCCCG